GCCATTTGCTTCTTAATGTCTGCATTTAACCTTGACATTGTTGATCTATGAATGTCGAATTTTCTTGCTTGTTGTGATAAAAAAACCCCTTGGAATTTCATCTCCTTGCATTGTAACAGAATGGCATCCATGATTTGTCTTTTCTGTTCTATGGTGAGATCTCTCCTCTTCTCTCCTTACTAGATTGTTTGCTGATTGTTTAAAATATGAGAGTATGTCCATTCTACAGCATATTCATCCTCTGAATTACTTCTTGACTGTGATGAATCAGTGGATATTGGCTGTTGTTCTTCACCTAGTAACTGTTCTATTGAAAAAAATTCTTCAATCTCAATATCCATTGGCAGATACTACCTTGTTTTGACCCAGATATTGCAATGGTGATGAAGTGGAGGATGCAACTTTTTGGACAACTCGAACTGAACCAGCTTTTGGAAGATTTCAAAATGAAGATGCTTCCCCTAATTTAGCACTAATTAGATTTAGGAATGTAGGTTTTGGATAATTGTGGTAGGTTTAGAACTTTCTTAGTGCTAACTTTTGGAAATATAAGGTGAAATGTATTCATTAGGAGGGAGTAGAAAATGGTGATGTATTGAATTTATGATTTGCTGGTTGTGTTTTGAACAATTTATACCCATATTTGCTTGTGAAAAGTAAGTGGAGGGACAACATTTGTTATGGAAAACTAAGTTTTTAAATTTTGGTGAAAATTTGGGAGGGAAAAATACACCCTCCCAAAATCAGCCCATGTGAATGCTTTGAAAAAAAAGGTGGTCCCTTTTACTTCCCTCCTTTTTTAAACTTAATCACATGGAATTATGTCATGCTTTAATCCCTTAAAAGTTTTGACTTGGGAATCGTACAACCCCCCTTTGTTGCAAGAAATAAGAAACGGAGGGAGTATGAGTTCAATAAAGTGATACAATTCATAAATATCCCAATAAAATAAGGGTCATTTGGTGATTTAAAGCTAAAATGGAAAGATGGTGTAATACCCCGTATTTTCATACGTATTTTTCTAATTAATTAATTATTATTTTCTAAAAAGGGTATTTTAGTAATTCAACTTACTATTTAAATCTTGGAGCCAAAATGATATTTGAATTTTGGCGCCCAAAGTATTTTGAAAACTAATCATTATTTTGGATAAGATTTATTATCCATTTATCCTATTTTAAAAACCAGATTATTTATATATTTCGGATATTTTAATTAAGGCAAAAGCTATATTTTATTATTATTTTAATAGGTCCAAAAATCCCAATTAATTAGCTAATAATTTCGGATTTTCCTATGTGAAAATCTGATTTTTATTTAGTTAAATTATTTGGTGAATATTTGGTATTTTATTATTTAATTATTTATTACAATAAATATTATTTACACAATTATTTTTAATTCCTTAAAACTAGAAAAAATATATTCCTAAATACTAAATAGGAGGGCCAAAAATATGAGCTTAGGAAAGCTCAAAAATTTCGGCCATCCCATGAAGATTTTGGGAAAATATTTTGGTAATTTGTATTTTTAATTATCTTCTTAAAATCTCCTATTTTCCATAATTCTAATTCTCCATTTTTTTTGATATCTAATCATTATATTTTCTTGCCATTCATTCTTCTTAGTTATTCCCCAAGTAATTCCAATTTCCTTAATATTTTTCATGACATACATACCTTTCATATTCAATTATACACAATCCCTTCAAATATCAAAACTTTCCTTAAATCTTTGCTCACTTCTCCAAGTAATCTCTTAAACCCTAATTACCATAATTCTTCCTACATTTTCCTACCATAATTCATGCTCACACTAGCCTATAAATACCCCTTCATACCTCTCACATTCTTCACACCAATTCTCTTCTTTTCTTCTCCTCAATTTTACACAAATCTTCCCGTTCATATTTGAAGCCAATTTTCAGGCGCTTCTGGTTAGTTTTTGGGGTATTGACGTTTCACAAAAAGTTTTTCCTCTTGAAAAATCCTTGAGGTTAGGCTCAAGAATAACCCAATTATTTTTGGGTATCAAAGGAGTTATAGCCTCTGAAAGTTTGCCTATTATTTCTTGCGCAAATTCAATTCTTTTCTTCTCCTATTCTCTTATTCAATTATTATTATTATTATGAGAGGATTAATATAAAATTATTATGAGTAGTTTTAATTATATAAAATCAGATTTTAATAATGTTCATGTTGAATTAATTAAAGAGGTTCATGTACATATAGTTGGGAGGGTTTAATTTAATTATTTGTGATTATTTGTTAACCTTATATTGATTAAGGTTATATTTATTTGTAGGGTGTTTTTGATCAAGCTATTTGAGAGTTCTTTTGAAGTGTTGTTGGCTAAGCGAAGATCAAGGTACGTTAGGTGGCTAGATACCTTGAAAGTGATTGATTTGAATGAAAATGTTTGAATGATTTATGTTGCTTGAATTAAATTGACTTGAATTATGGTTTATGAAATAAAAGTATGTTTAAAAGGTTGGTTTTAATGATTGAATTGGAGTATTGATTTTTATAACATGTTTTGATTAATTAATTTATTATTCATGTTTAAAAAGGATTGATTTTGAAAGCAAGTTGGATTTATTGAAAAGGAGTTTGGATTGTTTTCATTAAAGGTTGAATTATTGGATTTAAAAGAGGATTTATTAAATCATTGATTTATTATTATGCTTTATAAGCATGTTGGTAATCCCACTATGCGGATTTGGTTTATTGATAAGGCCTTGGACTTTGCATGACCGGGTCTTTCCTCAAGAATAGCCTTGTAACATAAGGAGACTAGCTTGGGGGGTGTGCACACTTGAGAGAGGAATTGGTTTTAATATGAGGAATTGGTTTTTTTTTTTTTAAATAATTGGAATTGGTTTTATTGATTATTGATATTGGAATTATTGAGAATTGGTTTTACACATGAGTTTGGTATTATTGGATTATTTATTGGAAACTGGTTTTAAAGCATGTTTGCGAATAAATTGAGTTTAATTATCTTGCACTTATCGTACTTAGCATATTTTGCTAACTCGTACTTCTTATTTGCTTTGGTTCGCCCTGTTTACCGTAATGGTAAGCAGTGTTGCTTATTTTCAGGTTGGAGTCAATAAATGATGCATTAGAGTCCCGGGATTGGTTTTCACTAAATTAGGAATTTGGTCTTGTATCTATTTTGAGTTTCATAACATTGGTTACTATTATGGTTTTTAGTAATAAAGAAGAGTATTTGAGTTTCCGCTGCAAAGTATTGTTATTTTTAGTAAGTTGAGTAGCCTTGCGTAATCACGCGGCGGTAATACGCCTAAGTCTATCTCTACGGTATAATTATACGGATAATACTAGTATTTTCGTAGAGGGAGATTTGGGGATGTTACAAAGTGGTATCAGTTTTCAAGGTCCTAAAAAGATTAAAATTGGAATAACAATAAAAAAAAATTGTGGGTAGACTTAAGAGGGCATATAGGATAGATAGAGTTTCGCATTTGTGTGTGAGTCAAAAGCCTTATTTTTACTGAAAAAACTATTTTCTTATTTGTGGAAATATGAAGGAGAAAAAGGATTCTTGAGTTCTCTACGGAGGCCTATAATGGGAAGGCTCGCCTCAACGTTGTAGGTAACTTTCCTGGGAGATGCGGGTTCGACCGTCCTTTAATCTTGATTCAAGTACATATTTATTATTTTCGAAAATAAAAAGAATTGAAATTGTTTGAAAATTGAGTATGCGATTATGTGTGCATTAAAGTTGGTGTTAAAACACCTTAGAGTGTGGTCTAGAGGTCCGAATTTTTGAGTTATTACCCATGATTGGGTAATCTTGAGTTATGTTTGGTTGAGTTATGAATTGCTTATTGAAAATGGATTTTGAATTGGATTTTTGTGTGATTTGACACTTAATTAATTGTTTTTGCATATATGTGTGAAATAGATGAAAATGATTGATACAATGAGACACCAATATTTTGACATTCATTACTTGAAAGATAGTGGAGTCATAGTTAATGATTTCATAACTTGAATTTGTACTTTGGCCTTGACCCTTTATGAGAAGAATGGTAAGGAAGCCTTGACCCGACAACCTTGGATGGTTCTTCTACCCTTGGCCCATTTGTCTAGAATTGAGAAATACCAACCTCTTTTTGACAAATATGGGGATGTGATCAAGGAAGATGGAACAATGTGGAATGAGAAGCACCATCATGAAGGGAAGTGGTTAGCAACCATGTCTAGTTTTAAGAGGGACTTGCACTATGTGGAGCGCAAGTATGAACCTAAGAGGAAAGTTGTGAAAATTCCCACGATCCCAAAAGACCGCACCTTTGGACCTAATGACCAAATGTACTTCTTAAATGCCCAAGTACCTTTTTCATACCCAAAGAAGCGACATGAGTATGTGGAATCTAGTGATGAGTCCGTACCACCTCTTGGTAGGAGCAAGCATTACCGTTCTCTTAGCCAATCTTTGAGCTCTAAATCTTCAAAACATTCTAGCCCAAAAACCCAATTCCACATTGCTAAAAGGCCCAGAACCCATGCCCAAGTTGCTAAGGAGAAAGCCTCATGCTCAAAAGCCCAAAAACACATTGCTTCTTCAAGCCAACTTCATGTGAGCCCAACTAAAATTCCAAGCTATAAACCTGGCCCAGACAACAACCAAAGTGAATCTGGGTCAAATTTGTTAGGTCGTACCCCAAGCTACAGTGGTTACAACCCTACCTTTATGACTGAACCAAGTGATAGGCAAGAGGATCCTGATTATGATCCAGTTGAAGATGGTTATGCTGAGAGTGTTGTTTGAATGATTAAATTATGACTATGTTATTGTTTGCATAATTGTCTAGATGGCAAAAGTTGTACTCTTTATTAATTATTAATAATATGAAAGTTATTCTTATTTGAATTTTCTCTATGTTATTAAGTGAATTAAATGCTTGTATGAGTAGAACTTGTTTTGATTTCCAAGTGTAATAATCATACCCAGGAATCATATCTCCAAGAATGAGGGAACATTTAAGGAGTAAGCGCACTGATTTCAAAGTTAGAAAGGTCCTTAAGCAGTTGACCCAAATTACTGAGAAAATCACGAAGGTGGTGAGCAGGGAACACCGAAATCCTGAGCTTGATGCCTATAGTGAAGTCTTTAAGAGGGTAGCTGCAGCTAAACCACCTGTTTACTTAGGAAAAGAGGACCCAGCCAGCCTTGAAAACTGGATTAGGGAGTTTGACAAGCTATTTGATGCTATCAATTGCCCAAGTGAGATGAGGGTAAACAATGGGGTTTACTACTTGAGGGAGGAAGCTGACTTATGGTGGGCCCAAAGAAAGTATGAGTTGCTGAAAAGACCAAACTTTGGGTGGGATGAGTTTAAGGAAGCCTTGAGAGAGAAGTTTTACCCTTCCTACCTTAGAAAGCAGAAGTGTATGGAGTTTACCAACCTAAGAATGGGAAACATGTCAATCATTGAATACTACAACAAGTTCATTGATTTGATGAGGTTTGCCCTGGAAGTAGTCCCTACTGAAACCATAAAGGCTCAAAGATTTGAGCAAGGCCTAACCTTGACCCTCCAAGGGAAGCTAGGGGGAGTGACTTTTGAGACCCTAAATGAAGTCTATGGCCGTGCAACCCATCTATACGGAATTAAGGGGAGGGAGATGGAGCAGGTGGGAGAGAAAAGGAAGAACTCAGACTCTTTTCACGGGGGTGAAAAGAGGCACAATCCTAATGAAAATTACTAAGGGAATTCTAGAGATAGGAGGGACAACAAGGGGAACTTTGGGAAGGGAAATGGGGGACAGTCGTCCAACCATAAAGGGAATGGGAACCAAAGGGGTGAGAAGCCCAAGAGGAAGTATTCTGCAAGAGGTGTGAGAAAGACCACCCAGGGAAGGACTGTGAGGGAAACCCGGTAACTTGTCGTTACTGTCAGAAGTTGGGACACCGTGAGTATGAGTGTTTCAAGAAGGAAGCTGATGTTAAGTTTGGGAAGGTAAAAGAGTCTAGTGCACCTAGTAAGCCACCTCAGTCTAGTGGACCTACAACCAAGGCAGGAACCAGTAGCGGTGCGGGTGGTGCCTCAAAGGGTCGTGTGTTCGTGATGAATAGTCGGCAGGATGAGTCTGCTAATGATGTGGTAATTGGTGTTTTCTTTTTAAGTTCTTCTCCTGTGAAAGTCTTCTTTGATTCAGGGGCGTCACATTCTTTTATTTCTAAGGAAGTAGTTGGGAGTCTCGGGTTAGAGAGTCCTGAGTTAGTTTCTCTACATGTGTCTATTCCGTCTGGGGAAGTGAGGAGTTGTTCGAGATTGTTTTTGAGTGTGCCTATTTCCATCTCTGAGGTTAAGTTTCTGGCTGATTTGATCGAGTTTGACTTGAATGACTTTGATGTGATTCTGGGTATGGATTGGTTGGGAAAGTATGAAGCAAAGATTGTGCGGCTGAAAAGGTCACCTTGACTAGCCCAAGTAAGACCAAAGTGGTGTATAAAAAGGAAGGGAAAAGCTCGGGGTTGAGAATTGTGTCTGCAATGCAACTACAGAAGCTGGTTAAGAAGGGTTGTCCTTTGTTTTTGTGTAGTGTTCAAGAGGTTGAAAGTGAGGAAAAGAAAGGTGAAGAGGGTATTCCTGTTGTAAAAGAGTTTCCAGATGTGTTTCCGGATGAGATTCCTGGTAGGCCACCAGTAAGGGATGTTGAGTTCACTATCGATCTAGTGCCTGGAACTGGACCTATTTCTAAGGCTCAATATAGAATGGCTCTAGCTGAGTTGAGGGAGTTGAAGACCCAGTTGGATGATTTGTTGGAGAAAGGTTATATTAGGCGTAGTTCATCACCCTGGGGAGATCCAGTATTGTTTGTGAAGAAGAAAGATGGAAGTATGAGGTTGTGTATAGATTATCGAGAGTTGAACAAGGTGAAAGTGAAGAATAAGTATCCATTACCAAGGATCGATGATTTGTTTGATCAGTTGAAAGGAGCAGGGGTATTCTCAAAGATAGATTTGAGATCGTGTTATCACCAATTGAGAATTGCGGAGCAAGATATTACCCGTTATGGTCATTATGAGTTCACAATTATGCCATTTGGTTTGACCAATGCACCAGCAGTGTTCATGGACTTGATGCATAGGACTTTCAGGCTATACTTGGACAATTTTGTAGTGGTGTTTATTGATGATATTTTGATATATTCAAAGGTGAAGAAGAGCATAAGGAGCATTTGAGACAAGTTTTGTCATGTTTTAGAGAGCATCAGTTGTATGCCAAGTTGTCTAAGTGTGATTTTTGGTTGGAGAAAGTAGCATTTTTGGGCCATGTGATTTCCAAGGACGGAGTTTCAGTGGACCCAAGCAAGAGTCAAGCTGTGAGTGATTGGCCAACCCCAAAGAATGTGTCGGATGTAAGGAGTTTCTTGGGTTTAGCAGGCCATTACAGAAGGTTTGTGAAGGATTTTTCAAGGATCGCGAACCCCATGACAAGTTTGATGAAGAAGGAGCATGAGTTCTCATGGACCCAAGAGTGTGAGGAGGCATTTAAGATCTTGAAAGAAAGGTTGACCACAACACCTGTGCTGGCTTTGCCGGATGGGAGTGATTATATGACGTGTATAGTGATGCATCGAGGTTGGGATTGGGATGTGTGTTGATGCAGAATCGAAGGGTGATTGCGTATGCCTCGAGGCAGTTGAAGGTTCACGAAGGGAATTACCCAACCCATGATTTGGAGTTAGCTGCAGTAGTGTTTGCCTTGAAGATTTGGAGACATTACTTGTATGGGGTGACTTGTAGGATTTTCACGGATCATAAGAGTTTGAAGTACATTTTCACCCAGATGCACTTGAATGGGAGACAGAGACGATGGTTGGAGTATATGAGTGATTATACATTGGATATTCAATATCATGAAGGAAAGACTAATGTGGTGGCAGATGCTTTGAGCAGAAAGTCAGAACATACGGTGAATGTGATGGTAGTCCTAGATCAGTTGTGTGTAAAATTTCAGAAGTTGAACTTGGAGGTAATGGAACATGGTGGAGTGGCAAGGATGTTGAATTCCTTGGTGGTTCAACCATCCATTTATGATGAAATAAGGGATAGCCAATTAGAATATGAGAAGTTGAAATCAATCAAAAAGAAGATTGATGAAGGAGAAGTGTTAGATTTCACCATTGGTGATGAGGGAAGTATTCGTTTTAAGGGAAGATGGTGTATACCGCAGAATCGTGGTGATTTGAAGCAAAGATTGATGGAAGAAGCCCATAATTCTCCCTATTCAATGCATCCTGGAGGGGATAAGTTGTATAAGGACATGAAGAAGACATTTTGGTGGCCCAATATGAAGAGAGAAGTGGCTGAATTTGTGGCTAAGTGTTTGACATGCCAGAAGGTGAAGATTGAGCATCGCAGGCCTCAAGGAAAGGTCCAATCCTTGGAGGTGCCCAAGTGGAAATGGGATTCGATTTCTATGGATTTTGTGGGAGCTTTGCCAAAGACCAAGGCATTGGGTGATAGTGGACAGGTTGACGAAGTCAGCAGCGTTCATACCCATGAGAAGTACTTGGACCATGGATCAGTTAGGAAGAGCTTATGTGAAGTTTGTGGTGAAGTACCTTGGGGTATCCACGGATATCATTTCGGATAGAGATTTAAGGTTTTTGTCTAACTTTTGGAAAAGTTTGCAAAAGGCGATGGGAACTAAGCTGTTAATGAGCACAACATTTCATCCTGCGACAGATGGTCAGACAGAAAGAACGATTCAGACATTAGAGGACATGTTAAAAGCTTTTGTGATGGAGTATCAAGGGTCTTGGGAAGACCACTTGGATTTGATAGAGTTCTCTTATAACAACAGTTACCATGAAAGCATTGGGATGACACTATTTAAAGCTTTGAATGGTCGAAAGTGTAGAAGCCCAGTATGTTGGAATGATATAAGTGAAACTATGGTACTTGGACCAGAAATGATTGAGGATATGGTGAAGCAGGTCAAGTTGATCCAAGAAAAGATTAAAGCAGCCCAAGATCGACAGAATAGTTATGCTGATTTGAAAAGGATGGAAGAGGAATATGAAGTAGGAGAGAAAGTTTTGTTGAAGATTTCACCCATGAAAGGTGTGATGAGGTTCGGGTAGAAAGGGAAATTAATCCCAAAAAACATAGGGCCTTATGAGATCATTCAGAAAGTGGGAAAAGTGGCTTATAAGTTGGATTTTCCTAACGAGCTTGAAAGGGTTCACAATGTGTTCCATGTGAGCCAAATCTGAAAGTATATTCCTGATGTGACACATGTGTTACAACCAGAAACCATTGAGATGGATGAGAATTTGACTTATGAGGAAAGACCAGTAAAGATTCTTGACTCTAAGGTCAGGAGCACAAGGAACAAGGATGTGAGCATTGTGAAAGTATTGTGGTCAAATCAGAAAACTGAAGAGGCTACATGGGAAGCTGAGGCTGATATGAGGAAACGTTACCCAGAACTGTTTGCCTAAGGTTAGTGGTCGAGTTACGGGGGCGTAACTCCTTTTAAGGGGGTAGAGGGCGATAAAGTTTCGCGCGTCTACTTTTCGAGTAATTTTTGAGTGATTTCGAGTCTTATTTAAGTTTAGTTGGAGTCTTGAGTCAAGTTAGGATGTGCATGAACCAATAATTTCAAAATGATTTTCATTTCTTTTGGCCAAGTTTCGGGTCGAAACTTATTTTAAGGGGGGTAGACTGTAATACCCCGTATTTTCATACGTATTTTCCTAATTGATTAATTAATTATTATTTTCTAAAAAGGGTATTTTAGTAATTCAACTTACTATTTAAAACTTGGAGCCAAAATGATATTTGAATTTTGGCGCCAAAAGTATTTTGAAAACTAATCATTATTTTGGATAAGATTTATTATCCATTTATCCTTGTAGGTTGCTGGTTCATCTCCATCCAAAATCAGGATGTCCTCCGAGATCTCGGTTAATACTAAACCAAGATATTTATCAGGTTGAGATCTTGGCCTCTGAGACCTACGTAGGGTAATAGATTGAGCATTTGCATTGTCGGTTTGACTTTGCACATTTTGATCATTTTGACCTGCGTCAACAGATGTTGTTTGAACACTTTGACTGTCATTCTAATTTTGTTGCACATCCTCACGAACTTCGTCGAGTTCAATTTTCCTCCCACTTGTCATTTTGGAAAGGTGTTCCTTCTCCAAAAAGACACCATCGCGAGCAACAAACACTTTGTTCTCCGATTTGTTGTAGAAGTAATACCCTTATGTTTCTTTTGGGTAGCCCACAAAGTAAACATTGTCAGATTTGGGATGAAGTTTGTCATAAATCAATTTCTTGACATATGATTCGCATCCCCGTATCTTTAGAAAAGACAACCTAGGAGGTTTCTTTGTCCATAATTCATATGAAGTCTTTTCTACAACTTTTGATGGTGCACGGTTCAGTGTTAGTGCCGCAGTTAGAAGTGCGTGTCCTCAGAAAGAGATAGGAAGATCACTAAGACCCATTGTTGATCGTACCATGTCTATCAAGGTGCGGTTTCTCCTTTCGGATACTCCGTTCTATTGTGGATTTCCTGGAGGTGTCAATTCTGAAAGTATACCTTTTTTTTTCAGATGGTCATCGAATTCTTGGCTCAAGTATTCACCACCTCGATCCGATCGAAGGGCTTTGATTTTCTTGCCAAGCTAATTTTCAACTTCACTTTGAAATTCTTTTAACTTTTCAAACGATTCATATTTATGCGACATTAGGTAGACATAACCATATCTACTATAGTCATCTGTGAAGGTGATAAAATATCGGTGTCCATTTCTTGTGTTTGAGCCCATTGGTCCACATACATCAGTGTGTATTAGACCTAATAAGTCTCCTGCCCTTTCTCCTAGCTTAGAGAATGGCTGCTTAATCATCTTGCCTAATAAACATCCCTCGCAGTTCTCAAACGATTCTAAATCGAAAGAGTCAAGAACACCTTCTTGTAGAAGTCTCGTGATGCGTTTGATGTTAATGTGGCCAAGACGACAATGCCACAAGTAAGTTTGGTTTGACTCCATGGTCTTAGCTCTTTTGGTATTATCATAAACAATTTTGTCTAAACACACAAAAGGTGTAATTTCTATAAATATAAACAAGACTTTTAAATAAAAGGTCTAGTGATCAAGGTTTAAAATGACGTCCAACGTCGCAATATCAAAGTATGGTAGATAAAACTTAACAAGTTTTAGAATTTAGACAAAATACATGAGATTACAAGCTTTCTTTGGATAGATTTTCTTCATCTTCCACTTGTGTACTCATGACCACTTGAAAAACATCGCTCATTTCGTTCCTGAAATAAGAGCATAAAATAAATCAATTTTCCGGTATCTAATACCTTATAAATTGCTTATTTTCAAGTGTATGGATGATACCTGAGATTGAGGCTATCTTTCCTCTTGCCTCATCTTCCAGATACTCGCTA